CCTTCCAGAGGCTCTTCTGACTAATTTTCAATCCCATTTTTGTCTGCTTTGCCCCCAGATGGGTGCCCCTGAATCTACAGAGATAATTCTGGGCCATACTGACACAATTCCACCATTTTCTGGCCCAAACAGACCCCTCTTTTCGAAACAATCTCTGGGGGGTACTTTTTCTGCGCCTCCGCCTGGCGGAGAATTTCCCTTGAATTGGGACACTGCACCCTGAGGGCAAAGAAAGTTCTACGCCTGCCAGCGCTAGGTGGCGCTAACACCACTTCACGGTTCACGGTCTTCTGAAGACTCGCTTTGCTTCACCGATTGTAGTTCATGGTTTTACTTTCACAAACAAGCTTCCGGTGAGTCTCGAAATCCCGATATATTTCAGCATCTAATAAGCCACGATTGTTGCCTTGACGTTTTTCTGTGCATGTAAAGTTCCATTTCCCTACAGCCTTGCATTTTCCGTCCATTAATGCCTGGTGTTACAGTTGTATGATACATGTATGCCTCGGGCCGGGATCGGGAGGCATTGGGAGGTGATGGTGTAAAGTTCACCCTAACGTCACGAACGTGGCGGGGCCTTAACGTGGTGCACTTCGCCTCTACGGCCTCGCTAGGGCAATATATTTACCTCATATTTCACAATGACAATGAATTACCCTAAATAGTAAAATAATGACACCTGTTAAAGCTACAAAACTTGTTATCTGGTTATTGCCACATTGAAATTGTAAATATTTAACATGCTTGCTTGACTTAGTAAATGGCCAACTTTCCCCACTGTGTAAATGTGATAGTTTCACATACATACATGTACATGTATTAGGTATCCAGAAACTGAGGGTGTATGTTATTCTCAATTGCTTGCCGGTGATACTTCTCTATAAAGCTTCTAAAGTAAAAGAAAAAAAAGATAACATCTTAGAATTGCTGTGAAAGGTAAAAAAAAGATGCGGTTAGGGCCTAGGTAGTGTTGACAAATCTCCAAATTGTGAAAATCTGATTGGTTGTAGTCACAAAAGGAGTTGGAAATCTTTGAACAGTGGAAGACATTTCTGGTTCATGAACGGATTCTCCTTTTTAACAATTTTCAAAAATGTTTTGATGAGCCTTCAAAATTTCTTTTCCTTTTGAGATTGCCTGATTGTGAGTTAGTAATGATGAGGGACATGTGCATGTTATTTGGGAAAACAATTTGAAGAAAATCAGGGTTTAACTTGTTTCACTGCCGTCCAAGATTTGTGAATAAGATTTTATCTTGCTGGTCAACCATACCCACGGTCTGATGAGAGTACTAAAAAAGGCCATTAACTTCTTCCCTACTCAGGTAGTCACAAATGTGCTCTTTCTTTTTCTGCGCACCAAATACAGAAAGTTTGGATTGAGTTTTGTGTGGTGAGACCAAGTGAACAATGTCAGCGTCTCCGGAGGGAAGCAGTGGGGGTGGGGATCAGTCTGGCACCAAGAAGGATGAAATCTTCCTTATTCCAAGTCCTGTCATCACAAGAAGGACAAGAACGACCTCGATGTACGTACACGCAATGCTTACATTTCAGTTTGACAATCTTTGCAAAAACCCATGCAGCTCTTCAGTTGGCAAGATTTGATTTTCAAATGCTCGCATTTATTTCAGTGCATATTCTGTCATGAGAATTATGGGAGTTTTCCAAGTCTCAGTTTCAGCTGTGGCATCTTTCGTTTTTAGCTGACCCCCCAGCTGGGAAAGTTTAGCTCTTTTAAGAACTCATGTTCTGCTAGAGGAGCACTGACCTGTCTAGTGTGCTGTTCCAATGGGCCTATGTTAGGCCTACAAGCAGTTTGTATGGGGAAGTACGCTCATGCAAGTTTACACGGGGAGTAATTGGGTGTTTTACGTTTGGACGACCAGTGCATACTGAAGGTTTTTTTCTGGTCGGAAGAGCTTTTGCTTTGATATCGAAAATTTGTTTAATTGGTGTGAAAGAAAGAGGTATTTTTATTTAGTACTTGGTTCTAGTACATGTAGATGTCTGTAAAGATACATTTCTTATGAGCTGCCTGAGATCTGTCAGCACTGTTGGAATTGATGACAAGCCATGGTTTGTCAACTACATGGTTGGCAAAAACTATGATAAAGAATTTGCCATGAGAGGGGGTTTGGTGTGGTTTAATGATACTGTATCCCGCTATCGTCCTTTGCCTGAGCCAATTCGGTAGACCAGCTCGACTGTTCGAGGTGCACCTAATGTCTGAAAGAAAGCCGGCGACAGATGCAACAGTGATTTTGGAAAACCTCTGTGACACACACTATCTCAATAAACCCTCACTTTCTTGCAGGTCCCGGGCAGCGGCAGAGGGTGAATTTAAACACGGTGAAATGATAGAATTTTCCAAGAGCAAGGGTCATGGTTTCATCAGGCCAAATGTGAAAGGAAGTAATGACCACTTATTTGTTCATATATCAGAGTAAGTAGTCAGTAATATATCTTCTTTTTTCACTTTGTCACACCCCAGCCATGGCGATAGTCCCAGCCGTATTTGGGACGATTCCAACAAGAGTACCGAATGGTTGGCCCAAATGCAGCAACAAAGTCCGGAGTTGCCCAAATGTTGTTAAGTGTTCTTGTTCAGTCAGGAAGGAGTACGCACATTCTCTATGTATGTGTGGTGATGTGGGCAAGGTTTATGCTCTGATCCCTTGATGCATAACCAACAATATGCACGTTTGAGCTACGACTGTTGCTAAGTATTGTATTTTGATGGAAGTCGCCCGAATGATAGTTGGTTTGGACCATTTAGTCGACCATTTGGAGTCAGGCCTTGGGGCATGATCACAGCACTGGTTTTCATTACCTTATCTCTTTTATAGGTCATTTGTATAACTGCACATAACTGAAAATAACTGTATGAGATCATATCATTGACCATGAACACCGTGCTACGAGACTCGTGGTCGGTGGTAAAATGTAAGAAACTGTGAGATTTTTATAAATTATTTCGATCAAGGTCATTTGAGTGTCACAGCACTGTACATGCGCATAATTAACAAACAGGTAATTAAACTGCAGCTTGCATCTGAACTTGTCCAAAATTTTTCTCATGTATTTTAGACAGGAAAAGATCACTAGCACTTTAACCCTAACCCTCCCAAATCCTCCCAAAATCCTTTTCTGCAAAGTGGGAGAATTTGGAGGATTCAGGATGTATGGCAAAAGTGCATGGCTGATTTCGAAGGATGCCGTACATGAAGGTCGTGGATTAGACCTTATGTTGTTTGTGCTTAGTCAAGCACAAATTCAGCCCGATATTTCTTTTGAATCAACCGCACTGCTCAAGAGTGCTATTTGCACTGCCTCAACATAATGACAGGAACTGCCAGAGGATTTTGAAAGATTTGGGCAATTAGGCATACCTCCAAATGACATTTTCAAGAAACTTTGGAGGATTTTGGTGGATTTGGGCTGAATGCAATTTTTTCACAATGAAAATCGGAGGAGTTCAGAGGATTTAGGATGGTTCCTAGTAAAAGGGCCTGGAGGCTAGGGTTAATGACCTTCAGCTCTTCTTAGTACAGCCCCAACACACTTGCCCATATGTTTTGATTCACTGAGAAATAGACAACTCCTAATACCGTGATACCACAAAGAGCGTAAACAAACCAGCACAATTAATATGACCCATTATGTTAAATTCACAGGCTTTGCATGGCTGTCTGTTCTATGTGGATCTTACCTGCATGTCTGCTGATTTCTTTCATTAATGACAGTACGAAAATCTGTCATTTGACGTTGGAAATTACCTGTTCGTCCCTTGTAATGTCGCTACGTGTTCCTTCTCAGGGCTTAAACATACTGTCTTCTCCATTCTCTTATTGTTCTTGTTTTTGTTTTAACGGCACTTTCAGCTACTCAGGTTATATGCTCCA